TCACCAGGATAGGCCTGCGGAGCTGCACAGGAACCGAGCGTACCAACAGTGGAACCAATGTTGCCTTCCGCGAGATCAATGGTCGTCTTTCCATGGTGCTAGTCCTAGGATACGCCAAGTTCAATCAGCCATTTGAGTGAGTGAGTTGGGTTTAATGCAGTTAATTACAGTTATATCACGGCGTGTCAGCTTAATGTGGGAGGAAAGCCCAAGTGACACAGGTCTCGACGTTTACCACATCGGTTAAACCCACGAGGACGGGTATGATTCTGACAAACCTAGAAACATAATCGGGGCGAACCGGGATTCGAACCCACAATCACAGGTTTGTGGCGTGCCCATGGGACGCAACTCTGCACAGCGAATCGCGGCGCCTCAGACGACTTGGCCACCCGTGCCCCCCTCCCCCATCAGCCATTTGAACTACACAGATGCAAGCACCAAGGTCAACACCCAGACGGTCACACGCGAGTAAAAAGAAAATACAGATTAATAAACAAATTTAATAGTGAGGACCTAGGTTGACCTTGCACCCCAAATCAGTCCCATCGCAAGCCTTACTATATTAGTTATTACAATAATGCCTTTTTATTTCAATCATTCATAGGTGAGAAATATTCCCCATTTCTGACGGCCAATACTTTCCGCATCTCCAATCTGATTCACACCTGTCAATTATCAGCAGTCGATGGCAGATATACCTGTCATCAATATCAGCTCGCGCGTGTTCAAGCTGATTACCACAGCATGACTGTAGTGGGAAACTCTTTGTCAGTAAAGCTGCAATCACTATTAACGCGGACAGGTGTATCGATTTCTAAGTACATGAGTGGTTATTTGGTTGAGCAAAAACAACTTTGGAAACGTTTCGTTTGATGTGGCGTTTTGATAATTGATGAACTTCTAAAATAACTCGGTGTCATTTTGAATAAATATTTGAGATTTATATACTTCATTTTTATTTTGAATTTTTTACAAACATTGGATAAGTTGGTATTGTGTCGACGTAGTAAATATTAACTTAATAATGACCGTTTCCTGCACCCTGTGTATGAGTGTCGAATTCGATAACTCGGTAAAAGGTTGCCACATTGCCTGCATTAAACAAAATAGACGCGGATCAACGACCTGCGAGAATGTAATAGCCAGTGTCTAACAGAGGACCTACTGTATATGTGTATAATAGATAATGAAATGGGTCTCTTTTCGACAACAAGCATGTAATCAATGCCACCCATGAAATGACACCCAATCAGCCAGGCCACACATTGTGACCAACCGATCCTCTTTCAGCCGACTCCGGGTCCATAATAACAGTTGTCTTTCTTTATTACGTTCGTCTGTTTCGTTTATCTTACTTTATATTTCATTACTTAAGGACACAATGGTACACCTGGTCCTAGTTCTGTTGTTGCTTCTGAATGTACTGTGGCCATGTAAAATATGTGCGTGTGTGAGCATGTGTGTGTGTGAGCATGTGTGTGTGTGTGGCTGCTGGTACTAGTCCGAACTAATGGCTATTTTATAGTGCTAGCCCACTGAGACACCATGCCGCTTTAAACATGAATACTCCACTCAGACACAGTATACCGACTCCGAGCCTATCAGTCCTTGTTTTAGTCCCTTAATGTTGAACGCCAGTCAGGGAAAGAAAAAACATCTGCTTTTCCAGTTTATTTCTTTTATATCCTAGTTTCAGCTAGCTACGGTTACCGCATGGCCACATTCGTTCATTCATTCGTCACCACTCACACCTCTCCGCAACATACAGAGTGAGTGAGTGAGTTGGGTTTAACGCCGCTTTTAACATTATTCCAGTTATATCACGGCGTGTCAGCTTAATGTGGGAGGAAAGCCCGAAGTGATGCAGGTATCAGACGTCTACCACTTCGGTGAAACCCACGAGCACGGGTATGGTGCTGACAAACCTAGAAACATAATCGGGGCGAACCGGGATTCGAACCCACAATCATAGGTTTCTGGCGTGCCCAAGGGACGCAACTCTGCACAGCGAATCGCGGCGCCTTAGACGACTGGGCCACCCGTGCCCCCGCAACATACAGAAATAATGTTACCGGGAAAACACGACACACCAGATTGCGCGAATGACTATGTACTTTGACAAAATAAATCTTCTTTACTATTTATTGTTCATTCATGTGGGTGCAGTTGTATCTAATATACACCAAAGTGACCATTTGTTTCACAATACTGGGGAAGAATTCGGTGTAAATCGCAACCGTTTTATGGATTACATCCATGTTTACCTTAAGAACAAAGGTGTTGTACGATAAGCAGATAATTTGATATTTTGAACTAGCTGTGTAAGGGTGGGCAAAGACGCACCTGCTGATTAAATTGCCCAAAGCTGGGAATGAGTCCCGAAATATAACCATATGTTATAAATATGTTGTTGTCGTTCATTATATCTGTTCGATATGTTAGTCTGGGTGCTACGGACTTTCCCGTTGAAAAAATCTGCCAATGTCCGGTTGGCTACATATAATAAAATACCTCGAAAGCTGCATGCCTGTTTCTTCCTTTAACCGCCTTTATTTTATTGAAAGATAACAAAAAATAAGGATATCGATTCAAATACGAAAGCCGGTGCAAATTCTGAAAAAACAACATGGCGGCCTCCACGAACCTATATCATCACATCAAGGACTAAGAGACGAATTCAAAATTTCAACACAAATTCTAATTGTGAAATTGGTGACATCACACAATCCATGACAGCTCTTCATACATGTAGAACCACCCTAATTTTAGATCAACACAACCACCAACACCAACACATGCTTAGAAGACCTTTGGATTGTCGCGATCTTTCTCGTATAGCATCTCGATAACGATATTGCATCTTGATTTCCAGGTAAACATGACGATAAGAGCTGTTATTTATTGACTTCAGCTTTAGACATCATGAAAATAGTTTATCGGATGGAAAACCTCGACACCTCGCCCCCAAACTTACAGAATTGAGTTTTTATCCGATATGGAAGTATTTAAGTGCTCCCCTAAATAAGCAAAAGGGTTCTCAATGTGACGGTGAAAATGATCTATCTAAAACAATGCCTATTCACCTAACATTGATCCTCCTTTATAACGTCAAGGGAAATGGTTTCTCATATATCATTATTTGACGTTAATGGAAAGAAAATGAGAGCCTAATTCTACCACGTCGCGAATTAATGGACAAATAAATATACTGTTAATTGGCAAAATGTTGTTTCTGAAAATAGAATTTCTGAATGGATTGCTGTCAGTTACACTTAAAATCCGAAAATATAGTTCCTTTGGAAACACGCGCAGCCCATTTATAGCTGTGCCGCCCGGTGGGATGTGCTTGATGATCAGCTAATAGTGACGTAAAATTCCAATGATACCATTCGCGTCTCGTGAAACAGCTTTTAGGCAGATTGATACTTCACCGATAACAAGACAATGTGAATGTTAAAAACAATTAGGTTTCTAAAAAAGGGAACTAATTGGGGTTTCTAAAAATGGGGACCATACACATGTGAATTGGGAATATTGGGTAAGTGATTGAATTGGGTTTAACGCCGTTTTCAGCAGTATTCCAGTAATACCACGGGGGCATGTTGGCTTAAAATGGGACAAAATTCCGAAGTGATGCAGGTCTCAAACATTTACCACTTTGGTGAAACCCACGAGCACGGGTGTGGCGATGATGAACAGAGAAAACTAATCGGGCGAACTGGAATGGAACCCACGATAATACGTTTCTGGCGTCCCAAGGGACGCAACTCTACACAGTGAATTGTGACGCCTCAGATGAGTGAGCTCCCGTGCCCCCTAGAGGATATGAAGTGGGTTAAATTCGCCGTAATCGGATTTGAGATACAAAATCAACTTTGCTACATGGGATTTTTTTATCTTTCCCAAGCATTCTTCTATGGTAGCAGCAGTGTCAGCAACGGGGGCAGCTACATCCGATGATCCTCAAGTATCAGCAACAGCCATCAAGGTACCGGAAGTTGGAGATGGCAGAGCGGAAGGGGCTAGTCCGGGGGTGGGAGTGGGAGTGTCGGGGACCGTCGAACACAGGCACAGGCACAGGCACAGGGAACTTTACAAAGTCCAAGGTAGAAAATGGTATCAGGCCGATGATTAAAACTATTTAAATATACATTTGAAGTCAATGTTTAAAGCACAATGGTTAGAATGGTTCCACAGAAACCTTTGCTTCTCGTACGAGGCGACTTAATGGATCGGGTGGACGGCGTGGAGCGTTGCTCATAATATCAATCTCTGGTTCTTACACTCGCCAGGCCTGTATTATATACAGGCCGTGGTGATCGAGTAGGAATATTCCTGTTTGTGGAGTAAACAACAAATAAAACAAATTAATGCAACTGGCAATTTTCAATTGACATCAGTTTTGGTCGGAGCCCCAGGTGATGAACGCACTTGGCTTTTACGATTTTATTCACCAGCAACCCGTGAAGATCCGGGTTAGAATTAATCTTCAGCAACCCATGCTTGTCGTAAGAGGCAACTAACGGGATCGGGTGGTCAGGCTCGCTGACTTGGTTGAAGCATATCATCGTATCCCAATTGCGTGGATCGATGCTCATGATGTCAGTCACAGGATTGTCTGGTCCAGACTCGATTATTTACAGATCGCCGTCATATAGCTTGAGTGCGGCGTTAAACAACAAACAAACAAAAGCCCCACGAGATACAGTTCTCTAAAAACTATTAGTACTCCGATTATTGCTCAATACGAACTGGAATATGACATAAAACATGGAAAGGTTAAACTTTGCGCCAAGTAATAACATGACCTTCGCCTAGTTGGAATATTGCTGAGTGCGGCGTTAATCACCAAACAATCAAAGCCTGTGCAAGAGTCCAATTCGAGACGAAGCCGTAAAGCATGCCCCACCCCCACCTCGACCACGCCCTAAACGTAATAGAACTTTACCACTAATGCATATACATTGCGATGTACTGAAAATGAACAAAAGATAATGTACTGTGTGTGAGTTGTTTACTTGTGTTTCCTCGATGAGCAACAAATGAGGAATATATTGATAAACAATGTCACTAATAACTCCAACTGTCAACATAGTTTACATGTTTTCGGACAATACTTCTGGCCAACGTTGACGCTTTTACAGATGTCGACCTCTTTCTGTTTACAGTTCATACCAACTTTGTCAAAACAGGGAACTCCTGAAAACAAAGAAGAAATTAAAGTAAAACCGTAAAGTAAAACAGTGAAACAAAGCAGTAATGCCATCATCTAGTAAAGCTTGACAGTAAATTACAACAGTGACACAAAACAGTGACACAAAACAGTAAAACAAAACAGTAAGGCAAAACAGTAAACAAAACAGTAAGGCAAAACAGTGAAACAAAGCAGTAAGGCAATCCAGTAAAGCTAGACCATTAATTACAACAGTGACACAAAACAGTGAAACAAAGCAGTAAGGCAATCCAGTAAAGCTAGACCATTAATTACAACAGTGACACAAAACAGTAAAACAAAGTAGTAAGGCAAAACGGTAAAACAAACCGGTAAGGCAAAACAGTAAAACAAAACAGTAAGGCAAAACAGTAAACAAAACAGTAAGGCAAAACAGTGAAACAAAACAGTAAGGCAATCCAGTAAAGCTAGACCATTAATTACAACAGTGACACAAAACAGTAAAACAAAGCAGTAAGGCAAAACGGTAAAACAAACCGGTAAGGCAAAACAGTAAAACAAAGCAGTAAGGCAAAACAGTAAAACAAAGCAGTAATGCAAAACAGTAAAACAAAGCAGTAACTAAAGGCAAAACAGTAAAACAAAGCAGTAAGACAAAACAGTAAAACAAAGCAGTAAGGCAAAACAGTGAAACAAAGCAGTAAAGCAAAACAGTGAAACAAAGCAGTAATGCAAAACAGTAAAACAAAGCAGTAAGGCAAAACAGTAAAATAAAACAGTGATAATTGGAGATAACTGCGATATTAATAAAAAAGGCACTTTCGTACCGAAGGTTTACCGAAGTACTCAGAGGCGACCGACCAATACAAGGTATCATATTTATTCCTGATACTGGCATCTATCAAACTATTTTTAAAACAGCAAACATTCTTTTTACTCAGCTCAGAGAGCACCTTCGCAAACATTAACGAGTATATTTGCCAATCAAATGGTGTCTCGAAATTGGTAGAAAATGTTTGGTGTAAGAAATGGCAAAGACAATGAGTCGTCCATCAGGTCAAGCGTCGATCACGAAGGAATGTGTTAAAAAGACATTAATACATTGGCGAAATAGTGAGTGAGATCAAAAGTATGAGTTGGGTTCAACGCTAATTTGAACAGTATATCAACTTTATCGCTGCGTGTCAGTTTAATGTGGGAAAAAGTACCAGGTTAGGTACAAGAAACAAGGACCAAGGTCAGGGCGAATCTAAGATACCATTCGTGGATTCTGACACGACAAAGGGACGCAACTCTAATGTATGAATTGCTGCGTTTTAAACTATACCATCCCTGCAATATTTCGAGTAAGGTGCCTTTGCATTGGGTCAAAGATATACTTAGTAAAACAGCCGACATACTGAAAAAGTACCCTGTTGGGATACCGGGATAGAACTGGGCCCTAGTAAACTGGATAAGAGGTGACGTAATTCATCGGAAAGTCTTAGTTAATTGCATGTTATCGTACATCGACGGCGTCATAATATCGTTCACTTGATTGTCCGCTCCAGACTCGGGAAGGTACAGCTAAATGTCAATTGGAATATAGTGTGCGGCACACGTTGGATAAAGAGAGTGGGCGAGCAAAGGATTATAGGTGGTCTAACGCCAGAGGCAGAAATAAGATCGCCACATGTCAAGTCTGGACCAGACACACCAGAGGCGGAGAACACGATCTTACGAAAAGCATATGATGCTGTGGATCACGTTTTGACCCGAACCGCCACTGGTGGTCCCAGAGTCTGCGATCATAAACACACGACATGATATCAGTGTATCGGGACATAAATAGATGCTCATAGTTACAAATGTTTAATATATACCTGTTGTTGTGGTCATCGTCGTCGTGGTGGCCGCTTCTGTTGTTGTGAAGTCTATAAGAAAACAGGCCCAGCATTTGAATGAATAGAAAGCTGAATAAACCATTTTATTTCATAATTAATTACATTTACACATGTCCGTTATCTTGAAATATACTCTTCAATAAAGAAACTTGACATAAATGTCAAACCACCTTTGGCCAAATATCTAAAATAATTACATTAAATGAGAACCAAATAAGTCAAACAGAAAGATGATGTGTCGCGAAAATTCGCGAAAACACGTGCAAAGCACATAAACGTAGCGTTTGGGGATCAATTTGACAGCTCGATGCAGTGGTCGTTCAGTTAGAAAAACTGAGTCTTGGCCGACTTGATATTGCACTTCGCTTGGTTGACACTCATGTCTGTACCGTCCAGCAGTACAGAACCATCAACAAAATCAACACCGACATTGAGATTATGTCCTACATTCTTGGCTCGTTTTAGAAAACTGTGGAATGCGTTGTTTTCCTCATGAGTCTTGACATGCTTTACAAGACGATCATCAGACAAATACATGTGTGCAAAAGTGCACAAAAGTGCACAAAAGTGCACAAAACAATTCTATCATGAAGAGCCCCAACGTTAATCAAACCAATATTATTATTATTATTATTATTATTATTATTATTAATATTATTATTATTATTACCTTCTTTAAACAGGTGAGTGTTGCAGAAGGCGTCCGAACAGCAATCCATGTTGGAGTACAGTGTAAATAAAAACCTCTCCCTGTTGTTCTTCTCATGCAAGATTGCCTGGCATTTCTGTTAACATGCAAACAAGCGAATTTATTTTGACGCAGAGGTCAGCAATATTGCAGCAAGCATGGCTGTCTATATAAAATCAATTCTGGACAAGACAATCAAGTGATTGATATTAAGGGCATCGATCCACGCCGTTTTCAGGAAGCGTTTATGTAATAATTGACCGTGAGTCCATACCAGACCGAAACTGAGGAAGAGTAGGTCTGTTTGTTTGTTTGTTATGTTTAACGCCGCACTCAGAAATATTCCAGCTATAAGACGGCGTTCTGAAAATAATCAAGTCTGGACCAGACAATCCAGTGATTGGTATCATGAGCATCGACCCATGCATTTGGGATACGATGGCATGCATGAACCAAGTCAGCGAGTCTGACCATCTCTTACGACGAGCATGGATTGCTGAAGACCAACTGTAACCTGGATCTTCACGTGGTGGAAGTATATAGGTAAACACACTACAAATTAGACTAACATTTAGTCTCTGAAATCTTATATTACACAATATCCTTCTTGACTCTAAAAATAAAAAAATTCCCTATGCTGATTGTGGAATAGAGCTAGCTTGAGCTGGCTAGACTGGCATTTCTAGATTATTATTTTTTCATAAAATAAATATATTCCACGGTCATGGTGCAGGACTAACTACAAATGTATGGGTCTTGGAATCTATAAACTGTTTAAGGGCCCGATCATTTAAGAGCCATTTAAGGGAGAGTCCAACATTATTTTTGCCCACAATGTGTTTTTCAGAACATGCAGAATGCCAAGTGAACAGTTTATGTTTTAGGGTAAACCTGGAGGACATCTTATGGGAACATAAACCCAATCAACCCAGCTCCCCTACCTCCCGTCCCAGAATATGTAATGGCCGCCCCTCTGTTATTGTAGCCACAATATTTTACCTTGTGTCATAAGTCACACAAAGAACAGAAAGAAAGGCCAAAGCTTGCCATAGCTTAATAATTTCACATTTCCGCTGTGGTCAAAGGATCCTTAACATGTCTCGTCCGTGGTGTTCAGTTAGACTAAGGTTGTCACATCATGATAGCTCTGTTCATACGTACGTCTCTGTCCGCACACTGGAGGTTGTAATGATTCCCAACTCTTTCCGTCTCGCAGACCTGATCATGAAACAGGAAAATGGTATGACACATGTATTGTGTATATACTCACCAAAGAAAATAAGGAACATGCCTGATGTCAAGGGAAGTATTTGTAAATAAAGCGACAAAACCCTTTCCATATCCGATAGGAATCTCTGCATAAAGCAGAGTCGATTGTACGATTCCGACTATATCATGAGCATGTGTTTATGAATCTTTATAAAATAATATAAATAATGATACCAGGTGTTTGTGAAAAGGTGAGCGTGTCCTGCCCCACCGGTGGCACCCGTCACGGACACAAGCAAAGGTAAGACATCCCCTGGGGGTAACCTGAGATCGTTTGATATGCCGAAGGTGCCCTGGAGATGACCTCACCTTGCGGAGTGTCATCCATGAGAGTGCCCAAGAAAACCAAATCATCAATCGTCTGTCATTGTCATAACAATGAAGCTAAATCGCCAAAACATTAAGTTTCCTGTCTCGAAATTGCAACAATGTTTGTAAAACTTAATTGTAAAGAAACTTCCTGATGTTTCTTCACTCTTCTCTCGGTTAACGTATTTTATTTCACAATCCTCCGTCTGTACCTATCTTATGTCTTCAAACTCGTGACTCTTTCACGCTTTTACAAGGCAAAATTTAAAATATAAATTGACATTTCACACAATTGGGATGAAATATATACATTCATTCAGGTGGGTTAGGGAAAGATGCTAGTGCTCACAAATCAAATGATATGTGTGTGTGTGTTGTCCGTACCTGATGATGGTGGCATTGTTTGAAGAGTCTACAGTCCTGGGGGTTGGAGATAGATTTACAGTTGCCACATATAGGGGCAGAACGCTGCACTGGAACACGATATATACTGCTCAAAGGAAGTTAAACAACACCCGATACTTTGCGTCCCATACGTAGCTTGGCATCCTCTGCGTACCCTCTACGTGTCATGTCACCCTTTCACCGTGACTCTTTCCCGGCCACAATACCAGGTAGGAGGGCTGGGACGAGTCCAAATTTACTACCCGGGTACCCACACCCCTATTACAAAATGTCCGATTTGGAATAGTTTGACAGTAGCCCGAGCAAAATGTATAAAACTATCTGGTGATGCATATACACTCAGGTTGACAGAAGTTTTATCTTTATTCAAACATATGTGTCATAAGGAATGCGTTCAACGTCATGAAGAAATGCGAACATTAGTGACTTGTGTAACCATGTAGTTAATACTAGTTATAGTGATTTTTTGTCATGAAACAATATATTAATTGACTAACAACGGGTCCGGGTAGTCCTGTGGGTACCCGGGCCCAACTCAGGACCCACCCGACCCAAAAATAGAAAGAAATACATCTTAAATACTTAAATATAACACATGTCTTTTCATGTCAAACAATCATGATTTGCGCCACAATTAAAATGTCAACACAAGGTATTTGAGAAGAAAATACAAATTTGTGTACAATCTGTAGTTCACGTTACACACACACACACACACACACACACACACACACACACACACATGCAGAAGGTTAAAACAATTAAATGTGAATACATACCCATACGCATACACACCCTGAAGGCTTATGTCACACAATCTGTGCCTGTGCCACTGTGCCAGGTGAGAAATCTTTTCTTGTAAATTATGATATTATCAGTGAACGTATGTATATTTAGTACAGTAAACTACAGTTATAACGAACTCGAAGGGACCACTAATTTTAGTTCGTAATAACCGTAGTTCGTTATAAGCATATAAACCGCATTTATACAACACATGGTCGGCACTAAAATTAAGTTCGTTATATCGGTCAGTTCGTTATAAGCGTGTTCGTTATAACCGTAGTTTACTGTATCTGCCAAATGTTCACTGATATAACGTGGCAGTTTATAAATTTTGTTTGGAAATACTAGATTAAAAAAGTAATGATTATTTAAAAACACAAATCAAATCTCCCCCGAATTGGAACGTGTAATAAAACGTTGTAGAATTACACAGTAGACAGGGATTGTCATCCTCGCCACTTGGCATCTTGATCTTCATCAACTCTCACTGAGTTAGGATTATTTTCCTATCTTAATGATGATTCTTTTACGAGAGTGGGTGTGTTCAAGTTTGAGCTGGTGGGAAGCTGGAGTTCTCTGAAGACCATTTAAAGGCGCTTCAACAATCCTTGGGACACCTGGTCCTGATCGATTCAGAGACCCGAGGCATACATCGCGGCATTGGATTGAAAAGTCGTCGATGAGTTCTTAACAGAGCAGGGATACAATAGCCCTAGACTTGCACATGGCTCCTATGGTGTTTCAGTTTGGTAACGCCTGTGTCACGTCTCCACAAATATGACATTCTTAGAGAATAAAGTCTATGATTCGGAGCAATGTAAGTCCAACACGTCGTCCCTCGGGCGTACCAGAATCCTATGATCGTAGGTTCGAATCCTAGATACGTTCTAATTATGTTTCTAGGTTTGTCAGCACAATACGCGAGTGAGTTTCAGCAAAGTGGCGAATTCTAAGGCCAACATCACTTCTGACATTACTCCCACATCAGGCTGATACACTATGATAAAACTGAAAAACTGTTCAGCGCATCACGAAAACCCAAACTTACTCACTTACTCACTCATTAGATCAACAAGTGTCGTGCTTTGACACCAGAACGAAATGAAGTCTGTCTGTCTGTCTGTTTAATAAACCAGACTCACTGAGATACCATGCCGCAGTTTAACATGAATACTTCGAGCCCACCAGTCCTTGTTTTGGCCCCTAAGGCCGTTAATGCCGAGCGCCAGGCAGGGTAACAAGTACCATCTTTTGGTATGACACGGCCGGGTGGATGCTCTACCACAAGACTAAAGAGGCGGTCCGGGGACCATTCAGTGTATATAAGTGTATAAAGTGTATATAAGTGTATAAAAGTGTATAAAAGTGTATATAAGTGTATATAAGTGTATATAAGTCTATAAGTATATCAGGTCTCGCTAGATGAGAGACCCTGTCTTTTTGTAATTATGGTCATCGTTAAGTGCAATATTGAAATACATATTAAACTTTGATTTAGCATAGAATGTGGGTTTCGAATAAAACGTGGTACGGCAGTGAGCAATATTCCAACTCTATCAAGGAAACCGGTCAATAATCTGGGACAGGCAAACTAATGGTTGATAAAATGAGCAACGTCAAACGCCTTCGGGTTAGTCCGATGAGACACAATCAACAACATCTATTGGAGGCAAATATATGGAGGCACAGGTGACCCAGTGGCCTAAGGCACCGTGCGGAGTAATGTGCCTCTGGTCATGTGCATATTTCTCAGTTTAATTTCACAATGGTGGCATGTTCAAGTCATAGAAGAATATTTGGACATGTTTTGATCTCTACATGCTCTTAGCCAAACTCGGGGGCACGGGTGGCCCAGTCATCAAAGCGCCGTGATTCGCTGTGCAGAGTTGCGTCCCTTGGGACACGCCAGAAACCTATAATTATGGGTTCGAATCCCGGTTGGCCCCGATTATGTAACTAGGTTTGTCAGCATCGTGCATCACCTAGGGCGTTTCTCCCACATTAAACTGACACGCCGTTACATGGCTAGAATACTGTTCACAAGAGCGTTAACCCCAAGTCAGTGAAGTCACTCACTCATTCTTCACTAAATATATCTTTGTTTTCAATCTGATATTTCACTGGTCCGTTTTGACCAAATATGTGGCCTTTATGATCAAATTGATTGAACTCTGTTTCTTGCATCTAATAGAGTGATGGGTACCTTTTTTAACATGGATCACTTTTGATTGTCTAATGAATTTCAAAACTATATTCTTCATTTCTTCAAATATTCAGTGAGCCCCAAAGGTACCCACAACATCATCCATTATCCGTCTTACCTCTTGCATCCTCATCAGCTGTAATAAGCAGGCCTGAAAATTGAAGATCGTTTCATATAGATGGGCATGAGCATTTTGGATAAGACTTCTGTATGTAATAGTGAGTGTGAGTGAGTTGGGTTTAACGCCGCTTTTAACAGTATTCCAGTTATAATCGCGGCGTGTCAGCTTAATATGGGAGGAAAGCCCGAAGTGATGCAGGTCTCAGACGTTTACCGCTTCGGTGAAACCCACGAGCACGGGTATGGTACTGCCAAACCTAGAAACATAATCGGGGCGAACCGGGATTCGAACCCACAAACATAGGTTTCTGGCGTGCCCAAGGGACGCAACTCTGCACAGCGAATGGCGGCGCCTTAGACGACTGGGACACCCCTGCCCGCCTGTATGTAATAGGACCACGTGTACCGACGTAGATTATTTGTTTAAAGAATAGAGAATAGAACGTTATTTGCCTGTGTAGGAAAGAACATTTATTTGAATAAAAATATATCTGCAATCGTAATGAAATTAACTATTCCTTCATGTTAATTTTGTTATTAGACGACGGAACGGTTTGACCGCTAAATTACCCCTATACGCCCCGCGAAATGTGTTTGTTTGTTTGTTTATCTGTTTGTTGTTTAACGCTTCACTCAACAGTATTCCAGATATATGAAGTGGTCTATAAATGATCGTGTCTGGACCAGACAATCCAGTGACTGGCATCTTGAGCATCAATCTACGCAAATCTACGACGACATGCATCAAACAAGTCAGCCAACCTGACCACCCGATCTCGTCAGCTGCCTCTTAAGACAAGCATGGGCTGCTAAAAAACAGTTCTAATCCCGGATATTCACGGGGTGAACAAGTGAATATAATCGCTTTACTGGTGAATAGAGGAATGGAAATAGTGTTAAAGAACGAAATACGTCTTTTTGTAATCATATTTTGAACAGCTCTTAACAAGGTTATTTTTAGCTAGGTCGTACCTCCAAAAAGAAGAGTCGCTACAACAACAGCGTTGACCATGTTGATTCAGTTGAGACGACCTATCTGACAGGTGTGTGAAGTCGCGACCAACCCACATAAATAACAGTAAATATTCAAAGATAAGAGGCTTAGCTCGTCATTATCTGTATTAATCATTTGTTAAAACTAATCATGAATCTTTTTATGATATTCGTCGATAAATAACGATACATATATCTATAAAGTAAATAAACCCTTCTTTGTGTGTTAATAAAATTATCATATTGTTTTTATTTTGTAATTAACTTGAAGTTTCCTTGTGCCCAACTGATGGCAACAACAGAGCATTTCGCGAAAACGCATCCAAGGGGAGATAACTGTAAATCCTACCAGATGTCGCTTGTTGTTGTTCCGGCTCACACAGGTGTGTCAGTCAAACGTGTATGGTGAAAAATGACATGAATAATGTGACCCGTGACTAAATTTAAGATTTGTCAGGCGATCGGACGTTTCAATAAATTTGAAATGGGAGCAGAAAATAGCATTTTAGAGAACTGTAAATGGGGTGACGTTATCCCGACATCCTCGGAGACGGACTGGAGTTTACGTCTCGCATCCTTGAAAGATGAATCGACTGTCACTGTGTTTCGACACAAACGGAAGGACAGAAAAGAAGTGGATTTGCTACAGAGAGCAACAAAAGTGTGTTGATAATACTGACCATCACATCAAGTGATTGCTGAAATCTGCAAATACTGCAAATACTCTTAAAAGGAGAATAAACATGAGCTGCGAAAAAACAAATACATCATTGACTTCTGCTCAGTCTTGTACATTTTACTGGGCTAACTGTTGACCTATTCCGTTATTATGTTCATTGATATGACGTGATTATACCAGTTTCATATAATAATGACATGTGTCTTTGTTGAAGTAAATACTTGTGAAGGAATATCCATATGATTCATGTTAATTGCCTCTTGCAGTATTATACTTGACAACATTGAAAACCCATGGAACCGGTCTGCCCGTTAACATGTGAATTTTATATCATTCCCTCCTGTACAAAGATATTGTACATTAATCATAATGGAAACAGATCCTCCAGTTGCCTTAGAGATAGGTTAACTGATACACGAAGTATACATGCAGTTTATGCAAGTAATGTTTTTTAGGCATGCTAGGACACTTTTGAAATTATTTCAGTAAACATTTACTAGAATTAGCAGAGCTACCTAGAATCATAGAAATATGCTAGATATCAGGTCGCAGTCTGGAGAGCATATTGTGAAATATGTCGCTATTCATTATTGAGATGATGCCTTGTTGGGCTGGGACGTCGACGGCCACTTGGTAGGGTGGGTCCTGAGTAGGACCAACGTACCCACATGACTTCCCGGACCCATGTTAGTCACGTGATATATTGTTTAATGACAATAGAATTGTTGCAATAAAAAAAATCAATGGTTACACTCCTAGTTGCTAAAGTTCACATTTCTTTCTGACTATGCATGAATTCCTGCTTTTATATATTTGAGGAAAGATAAGGCTGCAGTCATCTTCAGTGTATTCATGATCGTTTTATATGTGTATCTAATCAGTTTTTGCCAGGTAAAACTGTTTCAAATCTTTGTACCCAAATCTTGAGGCCTACAGAAGGTATCTGTGCAGGGTAGTTATAGGATGAAGGGATGTCGGGTACCCAAATTCATTTTAGACTCTTCCAGCCCTAATGCCTTGCAATTACTGCCAGGAACAAGTCTGTGCCGAAATATTGTCATTTCAATTTAAAATATATCTACTATTAGCTCGGCTTTGATATAAAACCAAAATATATATGACTCGACTTGGGTGATATGTATGACTGATATCTTGCATAGTAAAATGCATTAAGGATTATTCTGATCATGCTGATACCCCAGCAGGATGTTTGGAAATGATGCAACAAAGAATATTTTTCTTCATTCCAGAACCTACGGACACTACGGCACCCGAATCTTCTTCGTTTCATTGCATCTGGCGTGAACTCAGATGGCTCATACCTGGTCACCGAGCGAGTCCAGCCCCTGGAAAACACACTGACCTCGCTGCACCCACTTGAGATATGTGCTGGACTCCACAGTGTCCTCGAGGCGCTGCTCTTCCTACACGACACAGTGAGTACGCCACCCTGTGGGGATTCCAGGACAAAATAAGTTCCTAGCACCTAGTGTTGGAAATCGGGTGGGATTATAATCTGTTTGTTTCAAACAATCAATGATCAAATAGAATCAGTTGTCCTACTCAGCTCACCTTGACAGGGTTATATCATGATCATGCATTCATTATGATCATTGGAACATCCCTACCAGCACCCCGTGTTGGTGAACTCACAAGGAAGTCATATTGTGTTCAAACTCATTATATATTTTTTACATGTTATCATATCTGACCTATGTAAAAACGTTGTTATCTTCCAAAAGCTGCATTTACGCATTTACAAATTTGTTTGAACCGCACATTTTACCTACGCCAACTGATGATTCTTCATAAAAGGGAGATAATAAAAAATCGGTTGACACCAGCCGTGATGTGTCAAATTCTCAGTTGTCTCCCCTCATGACTCAAACAGTTCAACATAAAAATTAATGTCCCCATACCCACACTTGCCAATCTTTAAACTCACTTCTCAAATACTTATATTTGAGTTATTGACATAAACGATAACGTCAGTCCAGATGGGGGGAGTGAGATAGATAATACGCCCCTTCACTACCAGCAGCTTTGGCACTGAAATTTATATACGCCTCAGAGCTCCAGATAAGCTTTTGGTGTTGTGGGTATTTTACCCATGCATTTTAAAATCATTGGGTATCAGTAATTCTATTTGGGTATTCAAATTTCTGTTACCCACTAGTTTTTACACATGTGGATATTTAAGTTAAATATTTAAAAACACCATTTTTTATCTAGTCCCTGCAAACTGGTGTCGTGTGGGTTCGAGAGCTTTTTTGGACGATACCACGATACTTCCACAAGAAAGTGTGACGGCAAATGATCATGATGTAACTGTCATTTAGGAGTTTGACAAGGTTGACGGAATGCCCGTTTATAATTTCAAAATAAGTTGCTGATTTGCTAATTGAATACGCAGGGTTACTTCACAATATTTTGATGATACGCACAAGTTTTATTTATGTAGCGTATCTGTAATGTTCGTTGCGTATTTGATACGCTTGGATTTTATTTTAGTTGGTATTTCTGCATTTCTGATGCATATTTTACGCAGATACGCAGCCTATCTATTGTTCCGTCCAGACCTGTTAATAATCTTTCTTAACATACGTTTTTCAAAAATGCACTTTGTTGGTTGTATCGAACCCTGGATAACTCAAACTTTTTTCAAGTCCCCATGAGGTTCACACAACAAGGTTTGACTGTACTATTGACTGTCTGGTCCAGACTCTAGTATTCACAGTGGCTTGACACAACAAACAAACAAACAAACAAACAAAAGAGCTTTGCTCAATGGTTTTCGGCACAGACTACTTTAGTGGCGAATGAGTCCAGGATGTTTATCATAACAGAAATGAGATATAGTGCCCTGGATAACTGGGGATGGAATTTTCCAGGCATTGAATATTGAATTCCACTTCAAATCGTAACCTCTCAATAATGGTATTGTTTCAGGTGGGCGTGAGTCATAACAACGTGTGCCTCTCCTCGGTGTATGTGACGACCGACGGCACGTGGAGGCTCGGCGGACTTGAACATTCCTGCAAGTTCCAGGAAGCCACTGCAGAGTTTCTGGACAAGTGTCTTGCTTTCCGGAATGAGGACACAGTGTCCCCCGAGGAAAAGGTTAAATTGATCATGATTAGGCTACACCGCCCATATCATCATAAAGTTCGCCGCACGTTTCATTTTTATTTCCACTTAAAAAAAATAAATCTTTCAGTATTCCAAGTCCAACAGTAGTCAAATACTGTATTCCAGTATTTTACTCATCGAAGAATACATTTATGTAGGGAGGCCCTTTCCCAGGTTGATTGTACACAATTGTTTATTGATTACACAATTGTTTATTGGTTACATACTAGTTTGAACAACCCCCCCCCCCAAAAAAAGACACTGCCCGCCCACACTATATTTTCAAAAACCATTGCCTGAGAACCAATTCTTTTATTTTTTTAAGCCTTATATGGATGATACATGATATGTTTTCATGATGTACTGCCTGTTAAAACTGTGTTGTGATGACTCAGTGAATATTTGAGAGTCATGATCACAAGAGAAGGCAATTGTAACCCAGTCGTCTAAGGCATCGCAATTCGTTGTTCAGAGTTGCGTCCCTTGGGCACACCAGAAACTTGTGATTATAGGATTGAATCCCAGTTTTCAGGTCTGTCAGCACCACACCCGTTCACGAAAGTGAACTTTCTGACGAACCACTTCGGGCTTTCCTCCCACATCAAGCTGACATGCCGTGATATAACTGGAATATCGTTGACCGGCGTTAAACTCAACTCACTCACTCACTCATGTTCACAACTTAGAGTCAAGCATGAGTTTGATTTCACTAGGTTTTGTTTACAAGACAGTCTCATTAAAATCAGATCTTTTACATCGACACGATACCTCTCTGCATCAACATGTTCAAGATATGACCGCCCAATTTAACTAAAGGATGCACAAGTCCTTGAGCCAGTCAGATATTGCCTATTTTTGAAATGATTCGGCTTCATATGTTTAACACCGCAGTTCAGAAATTTTGATTACTACTCATAAACATTCACACAGAACACAAATATTCCTCACGTGGTACTCCCTTTTGGGAGTAGATTCCACTGAGCTGAGACAAGGTGTATAATATATCGATAACAATATATGGAACGGCTTTGTTTTTTGGCTATCGGAAGTCCCTGATTGTATTTGGTTTCAAAAATGGTTCTGACATGACTTCCTTTGGGGGTGGGACGTGTCCGTGGTCTAGTGGTAGAGCGTCCGCCCGGAGAGCGGAAGGTCCAGGGTTCGACCCTCAGCCGCGTCATACCAAAAGACGTAACAAGATGGTACTTGTTGTTACCCTGTCTGGCGCTTGGCATTAAGGGTCTAAAACAAGGACTGGTCGGCTCGGAGTCAGTATACTGTGTCTGAGTGGGATATTTCATGTTAAACTGCGGCATGGCATCTCAGTGAGCTAGCACTATAAATCGGCATCAGTCCGGACTTGTTCAAGCAGCCACACACACGTACATGCACGTCGCTATATAAGTGCAATAATCTTGGACGCGACGTTAAACCCCATTTCACCTCACCTCCTTTGGGGTTGCCCTCAGATCTTCGTACATCGTATCGGAGTTATAGATCTTATTTTAAGGTTTGTTTGTTTAACGCCGCACGCTACAATATTCCAACTATATGATGGCAGTCTGTAAATAATCGAGTCTGGACCAGACAATCCAGTGATTTACATCATGAGCAAAGATCTGCTCAATCGGGATGAAATGACATCCATGAATCAAGTCAGCAAGACTGACCACCCAAACCCATTGGTTGCCTCATACTAATTGAGATTGGTCTACAAGATAATGATAACACAAAATAACATCAGGAGATTATAGTTGATTGAAACATGTTGTTTATGGAACATTAAGAAAATTCTGTTGCAGTCCCTGTCATGGTTTTCTAGGAACTAGTACTCAAAGACATGTTGTGTCAGATGTGACTCTGCGAACATATGATTTATAACAGGAGTATTTTATAAAAATCGTGTCAAATATGTAGGATTCCTGAGAGTTGTGGAACTCTGTGTTTGAGCACTGGTGGAATTGAGTGTTATGGTTAAAGACAGATAATGTTTATAACTTATGATTTTGATAAAATTATTAAGACATATGTTTTCAGACTTGTGTCTGTGATTAATTTTGCCGGGAAATGAAAAACTTTGTGACATCTTGCTAAAATCGTTGTTTGAAAATGAAAATTATGACACAAATACTAAACAATTCCCACAGATATGAGAAAACTGAATCAGTATGGTGGGGGGATACTGGGCCCAGTTCCACAAGGGGGTCTTAGCACTGCAATTGTTGCAAGTCTATGTTTAAGTATGGGAGTTGATCGTCTTAGCGCTAATATTGCTTTGTGGAATGGGGCCCTGGGTTCTTTGAGGCCTTCTCCAAGGGAACTTGAGTCTAGAGACCCCATAATCTTTTATCTTAAACATGGGGGGTTACAACTTCGGCTTTCCTGCTTAATTACAATCAGTGCATAATGTTTCTCTTGTAATTTTTGTTCCAGCAAGGGGTAGTCAAGGCAACAGAGGAGTATGGCCATGCTAGAGATGTGTTTGCCTTTGGTGTGCTGGCAGAACAGCTGCAGGAAGGACTGGAGGACTTAGGTAGGACCAGCACAAGTAGTATTACGACTGTGTGCACCACTATACTGGGCTGAACTTACATAGCTGTCGAAATTCATGCTAGTCTGCAAGCCTGAGACTACTAAATTGTGATCAGGACAAGTGAAAATCCAATGGTAGTCCTCAGTGACAAGTAGCATTTGAGGTCTATGATTGTGAACCAGTTTTCAAGGCTACAATATTGAAACTGGTAGAAAATGTAAACATAGTAAACAGTTTTGTCTCATTCAAGTCGGACAAGCTACAAACTCGAGGACTAATGAAATATGGTTTCCAACTGTCCACTGCAAATTTCTAAGGCTTTTACACTATTTGATACAGTATGTCTTCATATAATAATATTGAATAAAGTATTATAATAATAAAATATTAATAATTTTGCTGGCTGTTATGTTTATCAACATTCATTGGTGGTACAAAATATCCACATCTACTGGAATTAATTTTTACTCTCTGTTTCAGGAGATCTAACAAAGACGTTTGAGTTACTTGTCCAGGACGAATGTTTAAACGTTGACCCAGAACAGAGGCCTCGAGTACAGTCACTTCTAAATGACAGAATGTTTAGGTACAGTCTCCTTGTCTCACTGGTGGCCAAGTATAATTATTTCCTCCCCTTAGCTGCACCAGGATTCCCTTTATCAGGGATTTGAATCCCTTGTTTCCCTTATTATGATCCTAGGTTTGTCTTGACCTTACCGTGATGGTGGATTGATCAATGTGGTAAATGTCTGAGACGTGTCATTTTGGCCGTTCCTCCCACATAAGGATTCTTTTCGTACAACTGAAATAACTGTTTAACGGGGTGTTAACGTTACTCATGGAACACTGCATGCTTACTTGTTACCCCAAGCTGTTTGCGTTGGGGATTTTATATGAATCCTAGAGGAATGGACAACAGCACTAGGTATAGAAGGGTATTTTCAGTTTGATTTGATTCAGAGTCTAAGTGTAGCCTTGCTTCTTTTGCAGACATGATTTCATCGATGTTTTAAGATTTGTGAAAAATGTGACAACCAAGTCTGAAGAAGAAAAGAAGAAATTCTTCAGGTAAATCATCAATTATGACCAGAGCGCTGTCATAACAGACAGACTGATAAAATTCTTCTGACATACAGAGCGCTGGAATGCATACAGCTCCTCATTTACTGCAGCCACCTACTGTCTCAAACCTTTTTAAAATCTGTAATTTATTTCTTATTGAAACATCTCTCAACACCCACATCATTCATATGAATCACATTTGCTTCTCTTAAACTTTTTCCTGCTGTTATTTTTCCTGACAAAGATATGTAGCTTCAAACTTTAAGGGAAAGTCACTGGTGCTGTAGAATCCTGACCATCACCATACAGCTGTTACAACTTGGTCTCCTGTATTGCAGCAATGTGACGGCCAGGCTTCTCTCCCTCCCAGAGGAGTTGGTGGCCAAGCGTCTGACGGTGCCGCTCTTGTCCCGCTTTGTCATGCTGGATGATACTGCCAATAAGGCTCTGCTGGCCAATTTACTTACACCTTACAGAGGTAAGTACTTCAATATTGATGTAATATCTACCGTTGGGACAAGTCTGTTCATCACCTGTACTTGACAGTAGTCCCCCCAATATCTCAGGGATGAAAATTAGAACTAGACCACTACCCCAGACCAGTTTTTTTAATGTTAAACTTATCCATAGGACAGTTTTACACATTTGGGGGAAAATTGCTCTGTGTTATCACTATTTGGGCTACTAGATGTTCTTGGTAATTTCCTTCCCTGTGTGTGCATTAATTAACAATTATGGCCTAAATCAAACTGTCTTGTGATCCTTGTTGACCATTTTCCTGAGGCAAGGGAGTTAACTGACAATGAAAGTCCAGTTTCCTCCCTTGCCGAATGGGGCTGGAATTTCGTGGCTTGATCATAGTGTAATATCTTGTAATAAAACAGGTCTAACCTCGTGAAGTATAAAATTACTGATTGAAAACATAAAAAGACTTTGAAAATTTCTGTCGACACGTAGTTGACGGTACACATGCTCTGCCAATTTGGTGATTGATCGAAATCTGTACGTCAGTTGTTGTTGTTGTTTACGAACTGGATGTTGTTATCATTATGCAATGTTGGATTGGACCATGCATAGACTCGTTAATCCAGCCAAAATATAACTCACATATTTCAGCCTAGTTCGGCAAGGGTGGAAACTCTACTTTTATCATCGGTTAACACTCTAAAAGTGCCCTAAAGTGTTTTAGTGTTACTCACTGTTCATTACAATGGCATGTGTTTGCCTGTCACAGATTTGATTATCTACAGGCCACTGACAGCAGGTATTATGCGTAACACAAACAAACAAACATGATCTAAAGGCAAGGTATTGTTCGGGGCATGGGAGGCCCAGTGTTCTTAGGTGTGACCATTGTGCATTAATAGAGCATGTTGATGCTTCCCTTGCTCATTCTAGGACAGATCCTGAATCCAAGATTCACTGATTATGATCCCTGATTGATGCTTCCCTTGCTCATTCTAGGACAGATCCTGAATCCAAGATTCACTGATTATGATCCCTGATTGATGCTTCCCTTGCTCATTCTAGGACAGATCCTGAATCCAAGATTCACTGATTATGATCCCTGATTGATGCTTCCCTTGCTCATTCTAGGACAGATCCTGAATCCAAGATTCACTGATTATGATCCCTGATTGATGCTTCCCTTGCTCATTCTAGGACAGATCCTGAATCCAAGATTCACTGATTATGATCCCTGATTGATGCTTCCCTTGCTCATTCTAGGACAGATCCTGAATCCAAGATTCACTGATTATGATCCCTGATTGATGCTTCCCTTGCTCATTCTAGGACAGATCCTGAATCCAAGATTCACTGATTATGATCCCTGATTGATGCTTCCCTTGCTCATTCTAGGACAGATCCTGAATCCAAGATTCACTGATTATGATCCCTGATTGATGCTTCCCTTGCTCATTCTAGGACAGATCCTGAATCCAAGATTCACTGATTATGATCCCTGATTGATGCTTCCCTTGCTTGTTCTGGGACAGATCCTGAATCCAAGATTCACTGATTATGATCCCTGATTGATGCTTCCCTTGCTCATTCTAGGACAGATCCTGAATCCAAGATTCACTGATTATGATCCCTGATTGATGCTTCCCTTGCTCATTCTAGGACAGATCCTGAATCAAAGATTCATTGATTATGATCCCTGATTGATGCTTCCCTTGCTCATTCTAGGACAGATCCTGAATCCAAGATTCACTGATTATGATCCTTGATTGATTCTCTGGGGCTTCCTGCTATATTTTACTGACAAACAGAAATATCAATGAAATACTGTTCAAAATCAATTGTATCTGCAGTATTGTGTTACATGCTGTGATTCGTATGTAAAGTTTCTTTATCAACGTCTGTTGCAGAGAAATCTCGTCCTCCAGTCCGCATCAATCAAACCTCCCCGATCCTGTGTGCTCAACTCTTCAAGGATCATGTGATTCCAGAACTATTTCGTATATTCCACATCCGAGATGCTCACATCCGACTGGTCCTACTCACTCACTTCGCCGCCTATGTTGACCTGTTTGAAAAGGAAACGCTGGAGGAAACAGTCTTTCCTCAGGTACTTCTCTATAGGATATTGTCTTTGTGTGAGGGATTGCTTGTGGAATACTTGCTGTGTTGAGGACTGTCAGTTGCATGTGTTGTAGTTTTTCATCCAGCAGTTGATGAATGGTCCCAAGCAACCTATGCTTGTCGTAAGAGGCGACTTAATGGATCGAGTGACTTGGTCCATTGCCATCGGGTGACAGTGAATTGGTGCTGATGTTGACAATCACTGGATTGCTGGGTCCAGATTTGATTATTACCATGAGTGCAGATCAACCTGAGTGCATTGTTAAACAACAAACAATGATGTGGGCGGGGGGAGGTAGGTCTGAAATCTTTAGGTCACAGCACACAAAGGTATGGACCTAACCCACACAGCCTCACCTTCCGGAGGCAAAAGAGAGTTAACAGACTTTAAAAGTCCAGTTTCCACCCTTGCCAAACTGGGCGGGAATTCCAAGGCTCGATCGTAGCGCCACCAGTGCCTATTACAAGGGATGTGAAATCCCCGCGGAAACGCGGAAAATCGCGTTTTTTAAAACAGTTGTCCTCGGAAAAAATCATCTTCCGCGTAAAGATATAATCAAAGATTAAAAAAAAACGCTCCGAAAAATATGATTGAAAACCGGAGAACCATCGCGAATTGTCCTGTTTTCGATCAGAGCTTTCAGCAGCATAGGTTTTCGGACGTCATACGTTTTCTATCACGAATACTTGCACTATAACGTGGGGTGTGGCGTTGCCCTGTGACAACAATTTAATGGATAATCAAGATCTATATTGTAATAAAAATGGTTTTACTTCGCGAAGTGCATAAAATCACGTGAGCACCTTGACTAAAAACATGAAAAGATTTGGAAAAAATCTGTTGACATTGAATTGGCAGTGCACATGCTTTGCAAATCCTGCAATCGACCGAAATCTGCATGCCAGTTTATAAACCGAATTTTGATTTCATTGCGCAATTGTGGTTTGACTATTCATAGACTGGTTAGTCCAGCCCAAATGTAACTTCATAATACAAGCCTAGTTCTGCAAGGGTGGAAACTGGACTTTTATGTTCTTTACTGAGAAAGTGTAATCCCAAATATAAATATTTATAACTTTCTAAAAAGGCATTGTCTGTTCAAAGGGCAATGGTGTTTGTAACGAACGCAGTGCAATAGCAATAGGTAAGATACTAAAAAAAATATTTTATCAACTGTTTAAAGCTCAACTCACTCTCTCATTTGCCACTGTAGCTTCTCCTCGGTCTCCGAGACACAAACGACAACATCGTGGCAGCAAGTTTACATGGTCTTTCCTTCCTTGTGCCAATACTGGGAGGGGACATCATTATTGGCGGCGCCAGGAAGAAGTTCTTCACAGAGGGAATGCCCAAGGTAAGTCAGTCAGCAACCTGATTTGGACAATGGCATGAGCATGGTGGGGCGTCTTGTTTGCCTGTTAATATATATAGCATATAAAGCATACTTGATTCATTTCTACATGATTTTATTTATTGCATGGCTGTAAATCATCATCTTATCTCTATGTTTAGTGGGGTTTTGTCCTTTGAGTCTAAATGGTTCAAGTAGGCAGTGTGGGCACGGATGGCACAGTCGTCTAAGCCGCCGCGATTCGAGGTGCAGAGTTGCATCCCATGGACACACCAATAACCTGTGATTGTGGGTTCGAATCCCGGTTCACCCCGGTTAAGTTTCTAGGTTTGTCAGCACCATACCCATGCTCATGGGTTTCACCGAAGTGGTAAACATCTGAGACCTGTATCACTTCTGGCTTTCTTCCCACATTAAGGTGACACACCGTGATATAACTGGAATACTGTTAAAAGCGTCTTAAAACCCAACTCACTCACTCACTACAGAAGGTAGTGCTTTAGTGACAAAATGACCTGGAACCATTTTTTAGATTTTGGAACCAGTACTGGACATTTTCTTAAATTCAAACAAGTCAGACTGAATTATTTCCCTGTTTTATGAATAATTTAGGTCCTGATGTGAAGATTCAGGAAGCAAACAAATTATTTTTGTCACGATTGTTTTATTAAAATGTCTGTAGGAAATGAATGTTTTTACAAAATATGCATGTGTGCTGATTATGTTATCAATGCATGGTGGGAATTTTTTATAATTATTGACTTATTATTTTCACTTTTCATTGTGCTTCAGATGTCAGAGGTAAAGGTATCATGGCAACTGTCATTTCTGCATGTGTATAATCCTCTGGGATTGCCGCTTTTTCACTAGCAATATGCATGATAACGCTTATTGGTAGCAGGAACGGTGTTGCTTCACATGTCAGGGTTCCTCCCTTGTGGGGAGGGATTCAGGGTAGAATAGGTCCCCAGTAGCCCTTGCTTGTCAGAATATAGGACTTCCATTGGGATTCAGGGTAGAATAGGTCTCCAGTAGCCCTTGCTTGTCAGAATATAGGACTTCCATTGGGATTCAGGGTAGAATAGGTCCCCAGTAGCCCTTGCTTGTCAGAATATAGGACTTCCATTGGGATTCAGGGTAGAATAGGTCTCCAGTAGCCCTTGCTTGTCAGAATATAGGACTTCCATTGGGATTCAGGGTAGAATGGGTCTCCAGTAGCCCTTGCTTGTCAGAATATAGAACTTCCATTGGGATTCGGGGTAGAATAGGTCTCCAGTAGCCCTTGCTTGTCAGAATATAGGACTTCCTTTGGGATTCAGGGTAGAATAGGTCCCCAGTAGCCCTTGCTTGTCAGAATATAGGACTGCCCTTGGGATTTGTGGTAGAACAGGTCCCCAGTAGTCTTTGCTTGTCAGAAGATAGGACTTCCATTGGGATTCGGGGTAGAACAGGTCCCTAGTACCCCTTGCTTGTCAGAATATAGGACTTCCATTGGGATTCGGGGTAGAACAGGTCCCCAGTAGCCCTTGATATCTAAGAAACAAAACACTGGCAGATCTGATGGTAAGATTTGATTGATTGGGACTGCTGTGGACTGTAACCAATACCAAAATATAAGCCAGCCAGTCCGCTAGTTACCATGGTCATTATTATCAATATGATTAATCATTCAATAATTATCAATTTCATTCTTTCTCTCACTAACATGCTCTGCCGATAGCATATGAGTACACAGCCATGAAATATATCCATTGGGGTAATTTTCAGTAGATAGTAGTCCTAACAAATGTGCTTCTATATGCTGATTAGGATACATATAACATGACTTCACTTAGCTTCACAATGATGTTTGCATTAAACTTTATTACAAAGTGTTTTGAGAAGACCCAGACATATTCTCTTCATTGGTGAAATGTATGAAGCCTGTCTTGGTGGTCCTGATATGGCTGGAATATTCCTGAAAGCAGTGATTGGCTTACTCAGTCTCGGGGGGCACGGGGGGCCCAGTCGTCTAAGGCGCCACGATTTGCTGTGCAAGGTTGCGTCCCTTGGGCACGCCAGAAACCTATGATTGTGGGTTCAAATCACGGTTCGCCCCGATTTTGTTTCTAGGTTTGTCAGCACCATACATGCTCGTGGGCTTCACCGAAGTGGTAAACGTCTGAGACCTGCATCACTTCGGACTTTCCTCCCACATTAAGCTGACACGCCGCGATATAACTGGAATACTGTTAAAAGCGGCGTTAAACCCAACTCACTCACTCACTCACTTACTCACTCTCAGTAAGGAGAAGAATTTATGGATGAACAACCTCTTTATTACAATTAAGAGTGAGGTTTAGGTGTAGGTGGGAGGAAAACCCTAAGTGATGCAGGTCTCAGATGTTTACCTCTTTGGTGAAACCCACAAGCACGGGTATGGTGAGGACAAACATAGAAACATAATCAGGGCAAACAGGGATTCAAACCCACAATCATAGGTTTCTGGTGTGCCCAAGGTACGCAACCCTGCACAGCCAATTTTTCCTCCCACATTAAGCTGATATAACTGGAGTACTTAAGTGGCGTAAATCCTACTGACTCTGTCACTGAGTGAACCATGACCATTTAATGAAAATTAAGGATGAGTATGTTTTTTAAGCCACTCAGATGTCAGCTGTCACAATTGTCACAATTGAATTTCAACATGATCTGGTGTCGATCTTGAAATAGTGTCTCGGATTTGGAAGATAATGGTATGAACGAAAGAAAAAAGCCACAAAACACAAGTGTTCCTTCAATGGTGGACCTATAGATGTCAGTCCACCCCCCAAAACTGACAGGGTGTTATTTTGTTTTTCACAATTCTACCCTCTGAATTGTCGTTTGTTTACCAGCTTCTGAAATTAGAGGTACTGTTCCAAATGCTTCTCTTGATAGTGCTGTGTTTAGAAGCCTTGATGCTGATTGGCTGATTAGTACGCTCACCTGACATGACCCCTGGTGGAGGGTTTGTGAGATCATCCACCAGAGAGGAATCAAATCAGGAGTGAAACACTGCTAATTTGAGATTTACCCAGACAACTCTAACGTATAGCGTTGTGATTTCAGTTTGGGCAGCATGATAGCGAGGATGGGAAGAACAGGAAGTTGCAGAATGTCACTGGCATTATGGGTAAAAAGATGTTGCTCAAGGATCTGGCACAACTAAGGTAAGCGGTTTGGTGATGTTCAGATAGTCATTTCTAGACGATGATTCATGCTACAGATGAAAGGATTGATTGTATGTGTCTATTGCAAATTGTGGATTGAATTGCTAGTTGACCTGAAAGAATTATTCCAAATGTTCAACCAGTCTGGTATTCTGTAAGGGGTAACACAGAGATGCACACATTCAGCTTGAACATTCCACCAAGTCTTTTTGTGGAATAACTTTCACAAAAGTGACTATGATCAACAAACGTTCCCATTTCCAGTTTGCGGTGGTAGGATAGCCTTGTGGTTAAAGCATTTCCCCAGGTTTGAATCCCGACATGGCACAATTTGTGCATCCCTTTGCTGGTGTCCCCTGATCTGATATTGGTGGAATATTGCATAAAGCAGTGTAAAACCCAACACTCACTCCAGTTCAGCTCTGGACATAATGATTGCCATATGTGAGACATAGTCATCGTATACAGGGCTTGAAAAATCCACATGTCCACTCGCATTGACAAGTGGCATCATGTGCAGGGCGAGAAAGAACTGAAGAAACATTCTTCCTACCGGGCGGGTACATATATTTCATACCTAGCAATTCATTCAATAAAACATGCAAGATAATTTTGAACCTAAAGTATATTATCATCTCTCTCATGTTCTAAGTAATAACAACAAAATACATGTTTCTCATTTATCATAAATAGACATATTTGGCCACTGTCTGTTGTATAAATAAATAAATAGGAAGTGCATTTGCACAGCAGGTATTGAAACTAGATCTTAAAGGGAGATAATTACATTTATTATTTTATTGATCGCAAGTCGTTACTGATGCTCAAATGGCAAAGCAGTGAGTGAGTATGGTTTTACCCCCCTTTTAGCAATATTCCAGCAATATCACGGCGGGGGACACCAGAAATGTGCTTCACACATTGTACCCATGTCGGAATCGACCCTGGGTCTTCATCGTGACAAGCGAACGCTTTAACCACTAGGCTACCCGACCGCCCCAAATGGCAAAGCGATAGTGAACAGCTGATGATTGATGTTGTGAGGGAAGTGGCTGACATACGGAAGGTTCAGATAGAGAATGTGGGGTTAACGACAGAAAACATGATTTAATTAACAAACAGGTTGAAAAAGGAAAATTTATCAAAAACAGTATTACTGTTAAAAAAAGAAAAACTGTGCAAGACACATGATTCAGCGAGTTTGTATGGGCGGAGATGAACGTAGATTGCAGAGACTCTGTCTGCTGTAAATAAAATCTGAGAAACATTAACTTTAACAGGGTAAGTGAACGAGTACAAGATATTATCTTCATGCCCTGCAGGTCAAACTTTCGATGCCTTCTATGCTAAAGTGAGTCATTAACTTTTGATGTATTTTTTTCAGAATTGTTGATGATCATATGTAAATTCTGTCTGTATTTCTGTCTACTGGTACCTGTATTATTAATCGCTTTCAAGCTGACACTGTCAGGGATTAAAACGTGATCTGTAACATCAATCTTCGTCAGTGCATATGATGCATATGGTTTGCATCATTTGAAAGGCTGCATCGTTTAGACATTCTTTGTGTGTTTGAACACAAAATGTACATTTCACACTGTTGGGTGTCATGTGAAAGGCTGCATATCTGTATATTGCCATGATTATTGTTTCCATGGTTACTATAGATGACATTATTTCATCTTTCTCAGCAGCAGTAATGGAGCTGTGATCTCAGGGAATGAAGAGAAGGAGGCAAAAAGAAAGGAACGAGAGAAAAGGAGAGAGGAAGCTCGTCAACGGAGAGAAGAGCGAAAGAAGAAGCAAAGAGAACAAGAGGAAATTGAAAACAGTAAGACAAAGTAGATTGTCTAGATTAATAGGTTATAGTGTTACAATGTGATTTGTGTCTGATTGGTCAATTAGAGGTTTCAAATCACAATAACCTGCCTCAGATTTAAGCAACCCGTGACCATGAAGGACAATGTTAATCATGTTCATGAATACTGATGAAGATCACAATGCACAGACAGAAGCTCATGGTGTTGCTTCAGGCGAATCCTTGGTTGGATTAGGAAAAATTAGACGCAACATCAGCATGATCAGTGTGACTGTTACATTGCTCAATTATTGTCGCAGATATCAAAGACATTTTGAATGTGAATCCTCACCTTGCAGAACATAGGTGAAAATATACTAATAAAACTGATGATTTTGATAATTGTTTTCAAGGATAAGCCCTGTGGGGATTCTGGGTCACTCCACTCCGCTCCACTCCACTCCACTCCACTCCACTCCACTCCACTCCACTCCACTCCACTCCACTCCACTCCACTCCACTCCACTCCACTCCACTCCACTCCACTCCGCTCCATGCTGGCATGCACGCCCGCTCCATATAAGTTTTTAGATAAAACATTTATGTTTTCAGATAAAAACGCTGTATCTGAAGAGGCTCAAATTGTTGGTGATGTGGATGGTGTTGAAGTAGAAGGAGACACATGTGACAATGAGACATATGAGGAAGTCAAGGTCAGTGATATGGATGTCAAGGTTACTAGTGGTGAGCAGAATGGAGAGGAGAAATCTGATTGGTCAGATTGGGAGAATAATCGAAATGATACTAATGACAATGTCAACCAATCAGATTCAACACTTGATGAAGACAAATTGAGTGACGAAATAGAAAACGAACTGCGAAGTATGCCAAGCACTGTGTCGTTTTCTCCCAAACCAAGTGATACAAGCTCAACCTTTCCTTCTCCGAATGTTGACTGGTCAGACACAGTAGGAAGTATGAGTGATAGTTCAAAACCTGATGCCAGACATGGCAGGACAAAAGGTGCTTTAAAGCTCGGCGGTCAGTCGAAGCCTAAGAAGTCAGGTGATAAAGAAACCACTACTGTGCACGTAGAGACAGAACTGTCGGACTGGGGACAGACATGGGACAATGTAGACTCCGTTACAGAACAGACGGACAACTCCACGTCCAGCACCAAACACTCTTCCACAAAACAACACTCTTCCACACTGAAGCCTGTGATGAAACCAACCATTCCAAAACCTCAGTCTGACCTCGGGGCCGAGTTTGATATCAAAGGAATCAAGGTACAGGCATCTACAACAACTGATGTAGACTTTTTCTCCGACATGATGCCTGACATCACGGTGACCCACAAGGACCCGCTCAGTGAGTTGTCTGGTCGGGGCAAGTCCGAGAACAGAGAAACGGCTCAAGACAGTCCCAAGAAAGAATCCACAAAGTCATTGTCTTTTGCTGTGGTCCCTGAAGCTTCAGAATCTGTGACTGAGGTAAGAATATGTTTCATTCTTTCAAAGAAAATAGAGTATGGTTTTACGCCGATTTTAGCAATATTCCAGCAATATCACGGTGGGGGACACCAGAAATGGGCTTCACACAATGTACTCATGTCGGGAATCGAACCCGGGTCTTCGGCGTGATGAGCGAACGCTTTAACCACTAGGCTACCCGACCGCCCCTTCAAAGAAAATAAGGAAGCCTACTTTGTTGTTTACTGTCTGAATCATACAGGGACAGTGGGGTTGTCTAGTGGTTAAAACCTTTGCTTTCCCCACCATGAGTTTACTGGAATATTGCTAGAAGTGGTGTAAAACAATACTCACTCACTGTTTGAAGCATAAGTTGAGGTCAAGAAGCTTGCTCAGACAATTGTTGATTATCATAATGACCAACTGGATCAGGTGGTCAGGCTAGGTGACAAGGTTGATTGCGTGTCATCGTACCCAGATGGCATGGACCATTCCTCAAAATATGAATCACTGGATTGTCTGGCCCAGACTAGACTAATTACAGGCCGCTGTCATACAGCTGGAATATTGCTGTGTATAACAAACAAAAAACAAACAAACAAAATCCCTTTGTGTAGATGGCTGCTCATAATATTAATCACTGGGTTGTGTGTCCAAGACTCAATTATTTACAGGCTGCTGTCATCATGGTCATAAAGCTGGAATATGTCTGAGTGTGGCATTAAACAAACAAACCAACCAAATCATCGTGATATAATTACGTATATGGAGATGGATACTCATAATATAAATCACTGAATTGTCTGGTCCAGACTTGACTATTTACAGGCTGCTGTCATATAGTTGGAATATTACTGAGTATGGCATTGAAGAACCAACAACACTGTGGTGTATATATAGTACCTATTGTGGTAGTTACATTTCCAGGCAGATGGCGGCGGTCATATAGCTGGAATATTGCTGAGTATAGTGTTAAACAACCAACAACACTGTGGTGTATATATAGTACTTATTGTGGTAGTTACATTTCCAGGCAGATGGCAGCGGTCATATAGCTGGAATATTGCTGAGTATGGTGTTAAACAACCAACAACACTGTGGTGTATATATAGTACTTATTGTGGTCGTTACATTTCCAGGCAGATGGCGGCGGTTGGGGAGATGACCTTGACTGGGGCGCTGAAGACTTCTGATGTCACGGCCATGAAGTATAAGGATCCACAGTTGCCATAGTTACAGTAACCATGTGACAATCATATTCATGCATCATGTATATAGTTATTTCTGCCTGTTCCACACATTCCATAGTCATCCTGGTGGGCTGGGTCATTTTATCATGAAAGCAGTAGTAACAGTTGCCATGGTAACAGCTCTCTCACTATTTACTCTGTTTCACTGGTTACTTTGAACAATGTGGTTTCTATAGAGCTGCAACATTACTGAAACCAAATTTCCACAATATCTGACTGATTATGCAATAAATTGAGATTCTCTGTGATACATGTAGTCCACACAATATTTTAATCCAGTTTTTTGTCATGATAAATCTTCTCCTTTAAATGGATGCTCTCATCTAAAACTTAGTTTTTATAGTAATTGAGCTGTTGTTATCTATAAAAAATTAGGTCTATATTTTCTGCTACTTCCTGATGTAAGATAATGTGTAATCATGGATTGTTAGAAATAAATGGATCTGTTCTTTCAAATCAAGACATTATTCATAGAATAATCATGAAACAATGATCTTTCCCTTCTTATAAAGTCATATGGCAGCCCTCCAAGTAGCAACCAGTTTGGTTGCCTGTGCAAACTAAATTACCATTTATTGCTTGGTTGCCAGATGGCTTCCACTAATAAGATTAGCTGGGCGACTAAGATATTTCACATATTGAAAGAATCTGGAGAAGAACATTGCTTGTCTGTATCGACATCATCACTTCACTGTTTAGGGTGTAGTGTAACTCCTTACAGAGATACAGAAGTCTATCTTGCCTGTAATGATACAAGGTCATGTATTTCTGGTCATGTGCAATTTCACAATGGTGGCATGTTTGACATGTTTTGAAGAGTCATCTCTACATGCTCTTAGCCAAACTCGAGGCACGGGTGGCCCAGTCACCTAAGGCACCGCGATTCGCTGTGCAGAGTTGCGTCCCTTGAGCACGGCAGAGACATAAGACAGTGGTTTGGAATCCCGGTTCGCCCTCGATTATGTTTCTAGGTTTGTCAGCACCATACTCGTGCTTGTGGGTTTCACCGAAGTGGTAAACGCCTGAGACCTGCATCACTTTGAGCTTTCTTCACATATCAGGGAGGCCTTTTGCCTTTTCTCCTGGACACTTGTCAAAGGACAAGCAGTTAGCTGACCAAGGACTATTGTGTAAGTAAGATGTTTTTCGCTACTGTGTTAGGTGTATTTCTATAGTTTGCATATTGGGGATACCATAGGCACAAGAAATGTATATGCACTTCTAGCAATTGAATATTTATTATTCTTTTTCTATTTATTGTGTTTTATTACATTCGCAGCTGACAAAAGTAAGGCTTAAAAAATAAAAGAATTGCTTCTCAGGCAATGGCTTTTGAAAATATAGTGCGTTCGGGCACTAGTTTTTTTTTGTTTTTGGGGGGGAGGGTTGGGGGGCGTTGTTCAAACTAGTATGTAACCACATAAACAGTTGTGTAACCAAATAAACAATTGTGTAACCAAATAAACAGTTGTGTCCAATCAACATGTCCAATCTCCCTACATAAATGTATTCCTTGATGAGTAAAATACTGGAATACAGTATTTGACTACCATTATACTTGGAATATTTAAGGGTTTTTTTGTTTTTTAAAAAAAATGGAAATAATACGGAAAACGTGCGTCGAACTTTATGATGATGTTGGTGGTGCCTAGGAACCAAGACTATTTTTTTTTTTAGACTAACATAAAATTGACATAAAATATTCACAAAATGCTTGTTATAACATATTTAGTGTCCAAATGCAGATCAAAGGACTGATGTCCATGCTTGACAATCAGAACTTTCTGAGTGCATCCTCTACGTTAACCTGTACACATTCTGATTTTGATGTTAATTTGCATCTGGAATGGTATAAAACCACACTCCTCTGAACCATCGAGAGTTTAAAGAAAGAAACCATGGCGATAGGACTGAAAATGGGGTAGTCATGGACATAATGTACTGTATGGTGTACTGGTCTATAGTTTTGATACACTGTTTTATTCTGTGCTTGTAGGCCATTTGCCCATGTACAAATCAGTACAAATATACATGATAAAATATGACCGAGAAAATTGTGTAATACGAAAACAATTCAGACTATTGTTTGTGGTAAGTTACATATTTATATCATTACAATCCTTAACATATTTGGCAAAATTTGCAAGGGTATTTTTATTGTTCTAGTTTAACAATTTGGTATACCGGGTATTTCATAATATTTTACATATTTGTATAACATGGAATAGACCTATTTCTTAACAGTGTATACACAGTACATTCCATTAGAAAATGGAGTTTATCTTCAATAATGTTCCACATATATATCTTACAAACTTGATTTACAATTTCAGTAACGTTACTTTTAATTTTACACCTCACCGGTAACTCATGCTGTCAAAGTTAACATAAATAAATAGATGTACCTTCTGGTCCAAATCCATAACTGAGTAATAACAGTCGCAGTTGTGATTCCCAGGTACTTCTGCAGACTGCATCCAAATTTTGAGTTAGCACGATGAGTAAATAGCATTGCATAGGGTTAACAAAGGTAACTAGGTGTCATCACAGGGTGTTCTGGAGGATACACTTGCAGGCTAGATGACCCGTCCCCAATTGATTTCTTTTTGCTTCAACCCACCCAAGCTAGTTACTTGGTTAGCAAAAATTCTGTAGTAATTAGAATTAGCAAAGTGTGACCGTACAGCAGCATTACTAATGTTACACTACTTAATATTTTTTCCTTGGAAAATATAAAGTGGAAATGAGGTATCTCTAAAATGTCTGTACTGGCCTGCTTGCTCTTTTTACAAAGGTTACTGACCAGTCAGATAGCTAGATTTATACACATGATGGTTCTCAGCAATCTTAGTTCCAGGTCCAAAATCATTCGAGCTGTCAGACTTTGTTAAGCTTAAATAAAAAAAAGTAGGTATTCAGAATTAAGCGTGAAACGTGTCATAATCCAAATGTTAAAGATTGAGGATGTCCATGGATGTTAATACAGTAGCAATAAAGGTTAAGGATCCGGTTATTCCTGATGCACTTCATACAGTGTATTAACAAAACAGTTCATTTAGTTCTTGTAGGTTCAAGTTATATCTTTAAGAATATTATTTATAGGTTAGTGTCATCATTTTGTATTGAATCAGTTCAGATCATATTTGTGTCACTGGTAAGTCAGTGCAAATCAGTTTTGTTGATTTTGGAGAATCAGTTCTATCCATATCAACACTAAACACAAGGCTGGGAGGGGTTACGTGTTTGAGGTGGCTATTGAAGGTACTTTAACCAGTGCAATAGTACTGCAATAGTTAAGAAATGACTTTAATGATCAGTGTTTGAAATAAATAACATTTGCCAGACTGCCATCAGTACCAACCAATGTTAGCACCTTCGGTCCTGACTCGTCTCCGCAGGTCCTTGTTTCATGTTTCAGTTGAACAGCAAAAAATCAGTGAAAGAATAAAACTGAAATTCAAAAATAAATCTGAAATTCCTCAAGATCTGTTATTATTTAAAAACAGTTTTGTCATACATTAGTTAAAATGTACAAAATATCAGTGTTTGCTGACCCAGATACCCTTGAATTTCCGGGTTAGAATAGGACTTCAGCAACCAATGCTTGTCATAAGAGGCAACTAACAGGATCGGGCAGTCAGGCTCACTGACTTGATTGACATGACAGCACATGGCAGACAAATTGGGAAAAAACAATGGTATTTTGATAAAAATTGGGAGTTTCTAAAGTTCTTATATTCTTAAATTCAGAGGTACACATTGTATTTTGAGATTGCATATACGGTAATGGAATAATTTATCAATAAGCATTACAAACTTTTCCATTTCATCCTGTTATCATTAAAATACAGGTTATTTCTGGAAAGCCATAAAATTAGGTATTTATTGTATATATATTAACATAAATTGGGAAACCTTCTAATTCCATTTGAGGAATTTTAAAGAACTTTTGCTGCAGACTTAGTACCAAATATCGGCCTCTGAGCAGGTCATGATAAATCCCTGGCAGCGTAATGAACCTGTTGCAATATTGGGATTTAAAGTTAGAATAAAAGCGACAAGCCCTTTCCATATTCATAAGAGATCTCACCTCCATTTTGTATGAAGGGTTTGTATAAATGTGAAGTTTCATTGAAGTAGTGTGCCACAATCCAGCAACCTATTGCACGGTCTTGTGTCTATACAATACGATGTGGGAACAGGTGTTACAAGGAGTTATGTGGTATTTTTTCAAGTGATTGCTGATTGAATTTTGTCTCCAGTTGCCTGATTATTTGTGTTTGGATCTCTTTTCCAGTGATGTTGGACTTACACACCTTAACATGACATTCATTCATCATATCAGGTAGCATGTCGCATCCTGACTGTAAAGACTCATATCGTATCATGTCTTGCTGTTCACCTGTTAGACTTGACTGATTGGACATTTTAGTGCAACTCTTGTTTAATGTGTATGATATGTGCATGACTGGTGCTGGTACCTTGGTGGGGTGAGGTAGGGATCATGCAGATACCATGGTGGGGTGAGATAGGAATCGTGTTGATACCTTGGTGGGGTGAGATAGGAATCGTGCAGGTACCTGAGTGGGGTGAGGTAGGAATCATGTGGATACCTTGGTGAGGTGAGGTAGGAATCGTGCAGGTACTTGAGTGGGGTGAGGTAGGAATCATGTAGATACCTTGGTGGGGTGAGATAGGAATTTTGCAGGTACCTAAGTGGGGTGAGATTGGAATTGTGCAGAGACCTGAGTGGGGTGAGGTAGGAATTGTGCAGGTACCTAAGCGGGGTGAGATAGGAATCGTGCAGGTACTTGAGTGGGGTGAGGTAGGAATCATGTAGATACCTTGGTGAGGTGAGGTAGGAATCGTGCAGGTACTTGAGTGGGGTGAGGTAGGAATCATGTAGATACCTTGGTGAGGTGAGATAGGAATCGTGCAGGAACTTGAGTGAGGTGAGGTAGGAATCATGTAGATACCTTGGTGAGGTGAGATAGGAATCGTGCTCTGTACGTGAGTGGGGTGAGATAGGAATCATGCAGGTACTTGAGTGGGGTGAGGTAGGAATCATGTAGATACCTTGGTGGGGTGAGGTAGGAATCATGCAGGTACTTGAGTGGGGTGAGGTAGGAATCATGCAGGTACTTGGGTGGGGTGAGGTAGGAATCATGTAGATACCTTGGTGGGGTGAGGTAGGAATCATGTAAGTATCTTGTGTGTCATGAATAATGCAAATATGGAAATTTAAGAGATATCGTTAAAACTTGCTGAATGTGCTTTATATTCAGCATAAAATAAAGGAATATTAATACTGCTTAGAGTTGTAGCATGTATATCTCATTTTAAATGTAGATACCTTGGTGAGGTGAGATAGGAATCGTGCTCTGTACGTGAGTGGGGTGAGATAGGAATCATGCAGGTACTTGAGTGGGGTGAGGTAGGAATCATGTAGATACCTTGGTGGGGTGAGGTAGGAATCATGCAGGTACTTGAGTGGGGTGAGGTAGGAATCATGCAGGTACTTGAGTGGGGTGAGGTAGGAATCATGTAGATACCTTGGTGGGGTGAGGTAGGAATCATGTAAGTATCTTGTGTGTCATGAATAATGCAAATATGGAAATTTAAGAGATATCGTTAACACTTGCTGAATGTGCTTTATATTCAGCATAAAATAAAGGAATATTAATTCTGCTTAGAGTTGTAGCATGTATATCTCATTTTAAATGTCTAGAATGATAATCTTTGATATATTTTATTCATATCATGAGTTCAGGTTTATTGCAAGGCCAGTATTCCTGCTACTCGAACTGGCGTATTATTTACAGGCTGCCGTGATATGTACTGACACACTATGAAAACGCATAGGGAAATGATTTTTCGTGATCTGACAGAAAACAAAGAAATTGGTATGTAGTACTGAGACCTGAAGGCATGCAACATTGTTTGTACCCTCATTCACATTGTCATACTTCATTTCAGTATAGTTTGATTGTGACTGAAAACTTAAAACAAACAATACAGTGAGGGACTGGCAGGAGGTGTGTGTGTGTGTGTGTGTGGGGGGGGGGGGGGGGGGGGGGGGGGGGGAGTTGAGTTTAAGGGGGTATCACAAAGAATTACACAGTACTATTACTTCATATAAAGAAAATATAAATTTGAACATTATTTAGGAACTGGTCATGTATTATATAGGGGGGTGGGGGTGGGGTTGGGGGTGCATGATTATTTATATGTATTGAGGCAGCGGGGCTTGAAAAATTGAAAAATATAAAATGACATAAATTGTGAGGGGGTTGAGAAAATGTTACGCCAATTTCAACCCCTTCCCCCAGTAAATGACCAGACCCTAAATTGTCATGGACAATAAGTGTGAA